ATTACCAAGATTTGTTCAAAATCGGGTCGAGGAAATACGTAGAACGAAATTTACCTTTCGTTATATTCCGTCAGAAGAGAACCCCGTAGACGTGGCAACAAGAGGTCTTAAGCCGAAACAACTCAAAGGTTTCATGCCATGGTGGCATGGTCCGTTGTGGCTAGTACAGGAGGAAATTAGCTGGCAGCAATGGGAACACGATTTTGACAAGAACAACGAACCAAAAGAAATCACCATAGCAGAGGTCTCGCGAATGCACAAGGATCATAATCTTCAATTTATCGATGTCGGACGTTTTAGCAAATGGCTAAGATTGTTACGAACAACAGCGTGGATCCTTAAGTTTATTCGATTAACAACTAAAAGCGGATTATCATGGCTACAGTCTGTTTCAACTGAAAAGGATCGACTTATAACTGAGGATTACAAATTGTCGGAATGGTTGTTAATTAGACGAGCGCAGTCTGAAGGAGTCAGTGACGATGAAATAAACAAGTGGAATTTATTCTACACCGAAGATGATAAGCTATAAAGATCTACTAGCCGATTGGAGAACTCGGAGCTGCCTGAAACTAGTAAATATCCTATTTATCTCCCTCGACACAATCCAATAACGGAACTCCTTATATTACAACAACATGAGAATCTATGCCATGCAGGCATCACCCATACACTTTCAGAATTGAGGAATAGATTCTGGATTCCTAAAAGCAGAACCGAAGTCAAACGAATAATAAACAGGTGTCGAATCTGTAAACGTTGGAACTCCAGATCTTTCAAATTACTACTGATGGCAAGTCTTCCGGAAACGCGTGTCAACCGATCTAGAGCCTTCGTACATGTCGGTATGAATTATTTTGGCCCTCTTTCAATCAAAGGTAATAGTGTGCCAACAAAAAGGTGAGTAATATTATTCACTTCTGCTTATTCTTCGCTTCTACGGACATTGGCGGATGTTCATCAATCTCTTCTCTCGATAAAGATCACGTTCCCTTACTGTTGTGTATTTACGAGACAAACCGACTTCCTCACAAACTCTTTCGCACTAAGTTAGGGCTTCATTTGGATAGATAAGCTTGGGATTTAATTACCCAAGTTTTAAGCTCAGCAAATAAATTATCTGGCAGTCATTACATTCCACGACATCGACTAAAAGAGAAAGAAATAAATAAAACGTATATGAATGGCAGTGATATGCAACATGTTATCAAGAAGTATGAGTCATTCGAATTAGCTAACATTCCACCGAGCGCCAATAGTCAAGGAAATAATCAGCAGTTGAAACAAAATAATAAAATAATGAGAAAACGAAAAAAAAAACTAAAATGAGAGCAAAAAGAAGCAAAAAAGATAAAAATGCTCACAAAAAGAAATAGAATGTATCAAGAACATAAGGTAGACTTGAAACAGATACTAGAAGTAAGCCCAGAAGCAAATGGAAAGCCAATTATGAAAGTGGACAAGGAATTAGCAGTAGCAATAAGCTCGTAATTGACATTTAAAAGTAAAATGAATGCAAAAGCAAAAGCACCAATGATAGTCTTTAATGTATCTGAATTACATTCAATCAGAATAATTTGGATCAATACTGCTCATGATGAAAAGAGTTTAGAGCAATAGAATCAGAGCAATTAAGGACTGAAAAGGACAAAATAGAAGAAAGTTGAAAAAAACGAAGATACTGAGAACCGTACCGATCACTCAAAAAAAGCGCCGAAGAAACAAAAAAGGAAAACTGAGAATACCGCATACAATAATGATAAAAGCTATGAAAACTAAAGTAACAATCAGCGATAATGCATTGTCTGATAGTTGATAAAAATATTTTTACATTATAATTTTCTTTCATGTGAAATAAATATTTTCAAACCGAACATGATAACAGAATGATAGAAAAGTCTACAAGATTTTGTATGGATTACCGAAATTAAAGCTATGTTTAAATAAAATTGCACAATATCCAACAAACAGGGTGATGAAATCTTACAAGTAAAATCAAAGCAATGAAGAGGATATAAGTTAACACAAATACTGCACAACACAAAGACGTCTCGGTGCCTACACAATGGACAATGCTAAGGGCTAGCCATACCTCCATGATCATCCCGATGGAGCTTACAAACTGCTCCCCAATCCTTTTACGCTTATTCTCCAAGACTGAACAAAAACAACGACATCTTCGCATATCCCCCACCACTGGACAACAAACTACGATATTCTTTTTATTCGCTGAATACAACTTAACGACCTATCAACGAACCTGACAGTCAAATTATTATCGAAAACAACAACGAGGAATTTGTTAGTTGATTATATTGCTAGCTTTTTGTATGACTCATTTATCACTGCTTACCAATTCATCGTGTTATATATATATATATACATATATTTTTTACACTTTTTTTTTTGTTGTTAACTAGCAATATTGTGTAAGAATAATATTACCTCCCGAATAAATCTATATCGCTAAGAAACGAGTTCAACAGATTAGCTTTCCCAACAGAAATAACTTAAAGATTTATATATTATGAGGAAATTGTTCGTAACCCAAATTCTTTATGATCTATCCCTCTCCATCCATGATCACATTTCAAACTTATTATTGCTCTGAGGAGTCGAACATTGAAGGCTTATTTTCAAGGCAGCTATATTATTTTGCTCTTGATCACTTCCGTTATTTACCTAGTTTCAGAGTTAAAATTTCCATTCTAATGCAATGTGATAGGCATAAACTTTACATCTTTGTCGTCAATGTTGTCGAGAAATCGTTTCCCAACTGAGAATGATTCAGATTGCTCGATATATTTAAGGATTGTTCCAGCTGGATCCATACTGTTTGTTTGCTGGTTTAAGCAGTTTTTCATGTGGGAATATTCAATAGAATGGAGTAATTTCTTAAAACTAAAGTGAATTTAGCTGAAGTAAGAAATATGAAACCCGCTTGTATTAGTTTTTCCTTTTTTTTTCTGATTAAATTAAAAAAGGTTTATAGTATATAAATTAATTATTGAGAGAAAAGGCTTCTAGAATAACACGAATATGCACTAAAGCATCCTTCGAACATTTCCTGAATTTCTCATAAAGATTGATTACTTATGAAATGTTAGCTTGCACTTTTTGTTTCCAATGCGAATGTAATCGCACGATCAGCCAGAGATGACTGTTTAGGAATTTGACGAAATTTACATCAGAATTCAAGAGATGTTGAAGGAATCATTATAAAAACTGAGTTCAGTAAAGAACAATATTTTTTGATAATTTTATTTCAGCGCAAGTAAGTCAATCAGATGCAGTTGTCAATTGAATTCTGGCTAAATGTTCATCGGAGAGAAACAACACAAACGAGTAAGTATTTCATTTGATTTTGAAGGAAATATCGTAGTTGGTATGTAATTCATCTGCTTTTGCCAGTTTACTAAGCTTCGTAATTCGCACACAAAAAGTTGCTTAAATACAATTCAGCAGAAAAACGAACCGAGCGCTGTTGTCGCTTTCGTTAATTAAGTAATAAAAGGAACATCGGTAGTAATTAATTTTATTTTTTTTGTCTTAAGCTTATAATGCTTTCATACATTATAAGTGTAAAAAATCGTATGAACTGTAACACTTTTTCTACTCTAACTTCTGAATGAAAATTATCTTCCAAAGATGCGAGTAATTTTGAAATTGGAATTGAAATTTTATAATAAATCAGAGTGATGAATACTACTGTAAGTGTTCTTTTTAACTAATTTGTACTTGCTATTTGCATAAGATTTATAGTACTGAACAGCAATAATCAATCAATCTAAAATATCTTATGAAACTTTTGCGCAACAGAAAATCAGAAATTATAGAAGGGAGCAAAAAATAAATAAATAAAAAACAACAATAAACAAATCAACAATAGCACCCTTCCTTATATCTCATATTTTGAAGAAGAAAGAAACAAACGATAGATTGCAGAAGGAACAGCAAGTTAACTTCAAACAAACACTTCCTGTGGGGCAAAAATTATCGCAGGTATTTGTTCTTCCACACAAATTCAGCTTACTTATTCCTTTATAGTTCAAAGACTGAACTCATTCTCCTTTCTTCCCACGTTCCCTTTTTCTAGATGTTTATGTAACATAAGACAGGATTGAATTTTCAGTCCACATTTATCTGTTAAACTCTGGAAGACTACCTAGGTCTGTCACTCTGTCACTGTGATGGGTTTAATCTCTCATTCAGAATAGAGAGACTTTGGATAACCATCACCAAATATCCATAAAGTCGAACTGAAAAAGATCAGCTGAAATCTTTATGAGACATTTGTAATTGTATACGAAAGGAAACAAAATGTTATTTGAGAGTAAAATAAAGGTTTTTTTTATTAAATAAAAATAAAATAAAAGGAAGAGGTTTGGTGATTTTAATGATTGAGATATTTTAAGAAACCCAATTTTTGTATAGCTTCTCGGCTAAGATTACTTGATCCAATAATGTCACTTAAAATGGACACAATCGGCAGTGCACGAAATAACCTTTATAGCGTCGTACCAATTGGGTATAAGATCAAGTCGACTTTCTAAATCATTTCCAGAATTGCGTAGTTTTTGAAGTATGTACAATTTTCAGGATTCTAATTCAATAAATATGGGAATAGATATTTTAGTTTTTTATCAATTATATTTATTAATTATTTCTTGACGAAAAATATGAAGTCTATCAGCCATTTCTGGCCTTCCGATTCTCTTTCAAAATAAAAGAAAAAATAGAGATATTTATTCTTTTTCTATTTTTGAATAAAACCGAAAAAAAGTTGTAGGAAAATAACAAATAGAAATAAATAATTAATGAAGCAAGCAACGGAGACAAACAGATGTTTCTGAAACTGAAAAGAAAATTTTTTTCTAAAAATTATAATGAATTTCATTTATTCCGAGAATAAAAATCGCAAATAAAGGTGAAATATTTAGAGAGAAGGTGATTCAAAGGTAGAAATACACGAAAACAAGAAAAGGGAAGATGACGATGAAATGAGACCGAAAGTAAATGGTCTAGTGCCGACGGAGCCTAAACAGAAACGGGAAGTAAATAATTCTATTGGAACAAAACCTGAACAGTGTTACGCAAATAAATCTTCTAGTAATGGCAGGGCAAAAGAATCTTCGAAGTCTAACATTTCGAAACATCCTATTTCTTTTGCAATATCCTTTAAAGAAACCGATAAACTACTGCTGGCCAAAAATGTCCAAGAGGCATTGGATGTAGTGCCTACACTCAGTGAGGAAGAACCAGTTCAAATAAAAATCACTCTTGATGAAAATCCGGCAGTAGTTGATCGTCCTCAAGTTTTATTGGAGAAAAATAAAAATGATAAGGCAAAAATAAATGAATTGGATAACAATCATTCAACATCCAAAGTTAACAGATCAGAAACTGGCAAAGAATGCGGAAGTTCTTTGTGAATATTTCCAATTGTTGTTCAAAATTTCTAATTAACGAGTAAATTTTTGCATTCCAAGGTCAACATTTGTGCATAATTTTCTTTAATGAAAGTAAATTTGTTCTATTATTTCCATCAAATTTACTACATTCGCAAATAAACTCTGAAAATTTTTTAAGCATTCCTTCAATTGCTTTAAATTTGAGATATGTTCATTTCGAAAATGCATTTTCAATAATTATAAATTTCTTATTTGATTCAAACTATTATTTTAATGCTAACTTCGCTTTATATAAACATTTTTGTCACCAACTTTACGCAAACGATAGCAGTTTCAGACAACTTATTTTATGATTATCAGATTTCGAACTGAGAAAATTTCACATATTACCGCTTTTTTCCTTCGAATTTCCTACGTGGATGTTAAGGAATTTTACGGAAGTATCCCTCGGGAATTGCGAAGAAAATGTTTTGCTGATCATAATAGCGGAGCGCACATTTGAAAGATGGGAATCTCATTTTACAATTTGATCTCCCAGTGCAATGTAAGGCAAAAGTATATTTAGTGAAAAGAAAAAGTTACCTTTAAAAAACACTTTTAGCTGGAAGAAACTTTCCTAAATGGAATTACTCTTAGCTAAAATTACTTTTGATGAACTTTCTTTCGGTATTAGGAAGTACTCGAACATTTTTTTGTATCAACTAATTTTTTTTTCTTTTTTTTTTCATTCTTCGAGCATGCAAATTAATTTACTCATGCAAATTATTTTGAATGGCAAAAATTTCCCGAAAAAATATGCAAATTTTAGGTGGAATAATATAAATTTAAAAATTTTTCACGGATTCAATCTCATCTCAGTTCATTTCCCAGCGACTGCGAAGGTCAGTTTGGTGTAGCGGTGTTTGATCTTAATTTCGAGAGATTGGACAAAGGAATGGATTTTGGGGTTTTGCATTGCCAATTTCTATCAAATGCCGTCTTCGTTCCTCATGCACTACACTTTTACTTCGAATTGAAGGAAAAGCTCTTTTGAAATTCCTTGCCAGTGCTAATGAGCAATTCACAATAATTCAGCAACAACTCTATTTTCAAACTTTCCGAAACTTAAAATTTTTTAAAAAAATAGAGTATTGACTTTTCAGCAATTTTTTTTATTGCTTTTTTGTTTTTTCTCAAGAAAAAAAATCGTTAGAAATTGTATTTTTTTTGTTACTGACTAAAGCTACAGAAATTTAAAAATTAATCATATCAGCATTGTTAATGGACAATTTTGTTGCTAAATAGCATTGATATAACATAAAACTTGGAACAAATTGGTCATTGTCAACATAAGTTGCATTTCTGAAATTCAACTTTATAAAATTTTTATTTACATTCTTTGTCCAGGAAAGTAGTCAGAGTAAGTCAAGTAAAAGCAAAAAGGAAGTTAAACATGCATTAGAACTAGGCTAATATTATTAAACTTCATAAATTGTTTGCCAAAAAATACCACTCTCTCATACGCAATCTGAAAGTGAACATATTAGGAGGAGTAGCTTGTAACAGATATTAAAGAAGATCATCATATTCGGTGATGACCAGATAAATCACCAGTAACATTAACAATTTTCGACTTTTCAATTTTCCACTGCCAGCTTTACTTAAATTTATTTTGGGTTGTCAGGTGACAGTGTAACTCTATTTCCCAATATTCGATCTAACATCTTCAATATTTCCCTTAGCAGAAAAATGTTCCGATAACTTGATTTCTCTCTTATATAGACAGATAAAGCATACAAATTGAGGGCTATGAACTTGATAACAACTATTGTAATCACCGCGTTGCTCACTCAAACATTGGGACGAAATGACGAATGCGACGTGAAATCACTTAAAATCGTTAGTATTCTAATTTCTGTTTATTCTACAAATCTATTGCTGTTAATCTTTAGAAATAAGCGCATTATAACATTTTATTATTATTATTATTATTATTATTATTATTATTATTATTATTATTATTATTATTATTATTATTATTATTATTATTATTATTATTATTATTATTATTATTATTATTATTATTATTATTATTATTATTATTATTATTATTATTATTATTATTATTATTATTATTATTATTATTATTATTATTATTATTATTATTATTATTATTATTATTATTATTATTATTATTATTATTATTATTATTATTATTATTATTATTATTATTATTATTATTATTATTAT